GGAATCCCCCGGCAGCCTACGTCTATTGCAGCATAACTAAGGGAGGACTCAGGGTCACCTGGTCCAGCCCTAACTATATGCTTTAGCAAAAAGGAAAGTTTGAAGCCTAATCTTGAAAGTAGAGATAGTGTCTGTCTCCTGAATCCAAACTGGAAGCTGGTTCCACAGAAGAGGGGCCTGAAAACTGAAGGCTCTGCCTCCCATTCTACTTTGAAATACTCTAGGAACAACAAGTAGGCCTGCAGAGCGAGAGCGAAGTGCTCTAATAGGGTGATATGGTACTACAAGGTCATTAAGATAAGATGGGGCCTGATTATTTAAGACCTTGTATGTGAGGAGCAGGATTTTGAATTCTGGATTTAACAGGAAGCCAAACAGGAGAAACTGCTCTCTCTTTCTAGTCCCTGTCAGGACTCTTGCTGCAGCATTTTGGATCAGCTGAAGGCTTTTCAGGGAGTTTTTTGGACTTCCTGATAATAATGAATTACAGTCGTCCAGCCTGGAAGTAATAAATGCATGAACTAGTTTTTCAGCGTCACTCTGAGACAGGATATTTCTAACTTTAGAGATGTTGCACAAATGGAAGAAAGCAGTCTTACATATTTGTTTAATATGTGCATTGAAGGACATGTCCTGGTCAAACATGACTCCAAGGTTCCTCACAGTGTTACTGGAGGCCAAGGTAATGCCATCCAGAGTAAGAATCTGCTTAGATACCATATTTCTAAGCTTTTCAGGGCCGAGTACAATAACCTCAGTTTGATCTGAATTAAGAAGCAGAAAGTTAGCGGCCATCCAGGTCTTTATGTCTTTAAGACATTCCTGTAGTTTAACTAATTGGTGTGTGTTATCTGGCTTCATGGACAGATAGAGCTGGCTGTCATCTGCATAGCAGTGTAAATGTATGCTATGTCTTCTAATGATGCTGCCTAAGGGAAGCATGTATAATGTAAACAGAATTGGTCCTAGCACTGAACCCTGTGGAACTCCATAATTAACCTCAGTGTGTGAAAACATGAAAACCTACAAAGCAATTCCCATTTTTTAGGATTATACTTATACTGAGCTCAAAAATGACACCTGTGCCCAGACCTCCGTCTTGGTTAAAGAACGACTACATAAACTGTATCTCATGATCATCTATATAAATATGTAAGCATCCTGCAAAGTCTATGCAAATTTAAATGGAAAATCTCACCTTGAGCCAGGCACTCTTAATGTTAATAAATAGGAACATCTGTTACTGTGTGACACAAACAGTTTATGCGTGCTGGGTGTGGCTCCATCCAGGAGAAAGAGTGAGATTGTGTGCCAGCTTCCTCTGGAACGAGGAACAGTTTGAAAACGGGCCGTCCCCACAGAGATGCAGCTCAGGCTGCGAGGCTCGAGCTTACAAAAAAGCGTGTTCGCTGCACTGTGAGAGAAGCAGTTATCTTCCTTTTAAACATAATCCCGTCTGTCCCTTTGATGGTAAATGGACTGGTTCTTATATAGCGCTTTTCCACTCTTCTGAGCACTCAAAGCGCTTTACACAACTTGTGCATTCACCCATTCGCACAAGCACAACTGACATTCACACACATTCATACTCCGATGAATGCATCGGAGAGCAATTTCGGGTTAGTATCTTGCCCAAGGATATTTGGCATGCAGACTAGGGGAAGCCGGGAATTGAACCACCAACCTTCCGATCAGTAGATGACCTGCTCTACCACCTGAGCTACAGCCACAGTTTATCCAGCCACCCTATTAATCTTTCCTATTATGTTGCTGATAATCAGAATAATTAGTTAAAATCTGAGGACAAACCAGCGCTATTAGTCTGTAACTGTTACTTTTCTCCGAATCATGGAAGTCCTCCACCCTCCTCTTGGTGTAATTTGGCATTGCAGCAGAGCAGCCGTGTTGCTGTGCAGACAGGCAGGGGTGTACACCTGTCAGGACGAGGCATGACTGAGCATATCGAGTGGAGACGCACCGCTCCACGAGCGCCTTTCTACATTGTTTTTACCCGTGTGTGTGTGTGTGTGCGCATGCTCTGGCTTATTTGCAAATCTATTTCCATGGGGCCGCGAGCAGCAGCAGCAGCAGCAGCTAACGACTTTGCTGTTCCCCATGTAAATAACTTGGCCACAAACACGCTGTGAAACAAAGTAGATTTATTTCCTGAATACAACGACTGTATTTCTGTTGCACAACGCAATCGTGGGAAAATCATTTCACTGCTCGGTGTGGTGTCACAGTTTATCCTTTGATACAGTGCTGGAGCTGATGCTGGGGGTGCAGAGAGCCTGTGTAGCCAAATAAAAACATGCATGTGTCACACTGAACCCTGTAATTAGGTTTCACTCAGCAGAGGGACCTTCGGCGCTGTGATGTAGGGAGGGAAGGTCACGCTAACAGTGGTCGAGCACATTTATCTCTGTGGGTGCAGAGCTACACGTCGACAGGACGAGAGCTGTGATGAAGCTGTAACAATGCCTGCTATGAGAAAGCAGCTCGTATTTACATAGTGTGTGTGTTTGTGTGTGTGTGTGTGTGTGTGTGTGTGTGTGTGTGTGTGTGTGTGTGTGTGTGTGTGTGTGTGTGTGTGTGTGTGCGCTCAGAGTGAAGTGGTGGGCCTGGGGAAGCAGTGTGGACTCTCGCAGAGAAAGATCCAGACCTGGTTTAGACACAGAAGGAACCAGGACAGACCCAGCAGCACCAAAAAGTTCTGCGAGGCCTCGTGAGTTTTTCTTCTCATACACTCAGTCGTTGAGCAATTTCCTGTTGGACGGATGTCACACGTGTGCCTGGTCACATCTTTGTCTGATCTCATAGAACTATGTAGTTCATTTACACAGCATCCGCTAATAAGGGGTGTCAAACATAAGGCCCAGGGGCCAGAATGGGCCCAGCAAAGACACCGATCCGGCCCACTAGATGGCTTTGGAAAATGTGAACAGAATTTTTACATTTTCTTACAACATTTAAGTTTTATAGCTTTTCTGAATGATAAAGACGTCCACAGTGGAGCTTCATGCTACACCAAAGTAATTACCACCATATAAACGACATTTTCAGTCTCTCTGTTGATTCATCTACAAAACTATCATCCAGGTCATGATAGTTTTGTTCATAAACGAAAACTTTCTTGTCACTCGTCTCGCCCATTTAAAATCAAAGTGGGCCACTGTGACATCCCAGCGCTAATCGATGATGCGTCTGTTCTTATCTGCAGCTGGCGCTTTTTCTTCTACCTCACGTCGTTCACAGCAGGGCTCGGCTCTTTAATTGATGTAAGTGTGTCGTCACTTTTTTCTTTAAAAGACTTTCACTGAATTTTGAGAATCTACATCTGCTTACTACGCTGTTGAAGTAAGATCGAGGCACAGAGATTTATCGTTTCCTCCATCCTCTAGACGCCGTGGTTCTGGGATCAGAGCGAGTGCTGGAGGGGTTATCCCAAACAGGTAGGACACAGATTTTGCCGTTGGGGTGTAAATGCTGGGGTTTGCAGCAAGTGTAACATGAGTCGTAGATTCTTTAATTCATGGTCATTTGATTCTTTGCTCTGTTGTTAAGTTAACATTTATATTCATGAAGAATTAAGTGGCAGAGATGTCTGTGAGCTAAAACTGAAAATCTGCATCACTCAGGTCATAAGAACAATAGGATCTACTTAAAGCAAGGAAAGTGCAGAAAGAGCACGCTGATCGTTTTTAATGCAGACTCCATCCACAATGTTTCAACTGCGACTTCCTTGACTGCAAAGCTCTGAATGCTTTTGTGGTTTCCTTCCTGCCTGAGTTTTTAACTTGCCGTGTGGATGATGGCACACGTTCTTCCCTGGAAGCCACGGCTCTCTTTATCTGCATTTAACCGATAACAGCTCTGCTACTGCAGACTTGATTTTTTTCTCAGACGGGTAGAAAGGACGTATTTTAGGGTAAATACCTGAGTCAACTTCCTGTCATTGTGTCGCTGCAAACTTTCACTTTTGAGTCTTCTCCAAATGTTTTTCTTTAAGATTACACCATGACTTCCTGTGCATGAAGCACGTCCTCTGTGCTTGTAAATGAGAGCGAGGAGTTCTTACGTGGCCACTGAACCTTTGCTAGACTTTAGCCCTGAAGCTATTAGACAGGTGAAGCTGTAAATACTCAGCAGAGTTGAATATCTGCCTGCACTACCCCAAAAAGTCCAGACCTGCTTCAGCACACTTAAAGGAATCAGTTCAGAAAACTGTTTATTAAACTCTTTCAGTTCCTCAAAAGCATGTAGTTAGAGTTCACGTTGGAGTTCAGTGATTAACAGTCTAACACATCTGTCTGTGAATGCTGCTGCGTGCATCACCATTGTTGCTTTCTAAGTCTGGACAAATAAGCATGGTGTTGGAAAAGCTTCTGTTTAACCACTGAATGATCACACTGAGCTGCTCTCTCCCTCTCCTTCATCAGCCTGTGTCTGAGGCTCATTACTGGTATTACATGTTGGAGATGAGCTTCTATTTGTCGCTGCTTCTGAGCATCTCTGTGGATGTGAAGCGAAAAGTGAGTATTAACTGAAAACACATAAAGAACCTGATTATTATTCCACATTTAATCCCTGAAATGTAACGTTTTAGTCCAATGGTAAAAAAAGCAAATGCAGATTATGCTCTGGATTATCTGTAACTGTAATTATCTATAACTCTGTACTTTGAGTGTTACAGTATATTAAATATTCAGTTCAGTCTCTCCACAGAAACCTGAACTGTACTGAATACTATAATCATTTCAGTGCTTCTGTCCTTCAGGAGGCTTTGCTGCTGTCATATTTGTATTATTTAAATTAACGAATCAGTGCAGACAATCATGCTGGTTTCAAACGGCACCCGTGCAGCTGCTGTTTATGCTGCTGCATGTTTTTAAATGCGTGCATGCATGTGTGTTTGTGTTTTAGGATTTCAAGGAGCAGGTGGTTCATCATATTGCCACCATAATTCTCATCGGTTTCTCCTACATTGCCAACTATGTGAGGGTGGGCACTTTGGTGATGCTGGTCCACGACTCTGCCGACATTATTCTCGAGGTAAAACACCACACCTGCCTCCAGATACACTGTGAGTACAAACGCCACTACTTCATTCTTTGTTTTCTAACAAAAGGGAAGTAAGTGCAGCATATTTGGAAATGAAAGTGACTTTTATACGCTGCCTCGTTCACAAGCGTCTGCCACAGCAGGGAAGTCAATGTTCGTATGACCACCTTTATTTTGGAACACAGCCTGAACTCTGTGAGGCTTCACGAGGCACATCCCAAAGCTCTCTTCTTGGAGGCTGTACTTTGTTCCATTCCCTGTCAGGATGATACCACACTGGAAACTATGAACAGGCTCTGGGAGGCTGGTCCATGTTTTCCATCCAGGTTCGTTTTGACTGCAGTGGCAGTTTGTTTGTCAGTGCTGCCAATCGGATGCTTTCCAAATGGTGAATCAAAATTTGGATCAAATGTGGATTCATCACTTCACAGGACTTGTTGACACTGATTTTCTTTGGATTTCTTGTGTCATTTGGCATAGCCCACCCATTTCTCCCTGCTTCCCTGCCTTAAGAGTAACGTTTTGACAGCCACCCTTCCACTGAGACCATTTTTGAGGAGGCTTCAGTGAACAGTAGACGATTAGCTGAAGGGACAGATGTATCCCTCGGGTCCCGGAACAGGTCTTTGCTGGTTTTTCCCAAGTTTTCAAGGACAGGATTTCTTCTCGTCCTCTGTGTGTTCATTTCCCTTAAAAATATTCACAGAGACACTTCACATGATGCTGAAATATTCCTGTCAAACTCTGTTATGATTGGCCTTTTTCACAAGTTCAACAAAAGAAATGGGAGTCGGTCAGCAGGCTGCTAATAACCTGCAAGTGCCTCGAGGTTCAACTTGAGTTGGGTCTTTGCCAAGTTGTCTGCTGTGTGTAGACACAACACTTGAGTTGCATTTTTTTCAAGCTTGACCGATTCATCAGTGTGAACTAGGGCTGCCACGATTAGTCGACTAGTCACGACTGATTTAATAGTCGACGCGTCGTTTGAAGCTTTGTAAGATCACAAAAGACGCAGGAATCAGTAGCAGGATTTAAGAGTGTAATAACGGACTGAAACAGAAGATGGCAGCACTGCATGTACAAGGATGCCAGCTGCCGTTAAACCCCGAAGAAGAAGAAACTGTGTCCCAGAATTCATAGCGCGGCTCAGCGCAGTTTCCAACAATGGCGGCAGCTAGTTAGTTTTAATATTACTCTTATTATTCTTTATTGGTCACAAAATAAACGTTTAACATATTTTCAGGCGAGAATGTAGCTGTGTAAACCTCAAATATCTGCTCAGTTTATCAAGACACCGCATATTTTCAAAAGCGCTCCGACGTTTTCGGAGACGTCTGTTACCCAGCTCGTTAGCTAGGCGGGGGCTAGGCTAACTAGAGCCGTGAGAACACCGGACTCCCGGCAAATCGTCTTCAAACCCACCGCCGTCTTTCGCTACTCAGGTTAAACATGACATATGAGTCACTTAGATAACTTAACAATGTTGTTGTTTGGCTTTTTTTAGTATTTTATTTGTTCCTGAGTAAATCGGTTTGGCTGAGATTAAAGTTATAGTTTTTACACAGCTGAATAAACGTCAAGCAGACAGCTGATTATCAGAAGTGTGAGATGCTCCAGAATTTACTCCGGTGTCCTGTTATATTTTAGATAGCAAGGAGTTTATTAAACTTCACCGAAACAATCTGCAAATGTCATTAAAATTTAATAAACTATCATCTTGTCTTTATTTTTAGTTAGCACAGACCTTAAACACTTAAAGCTGTAAGCTAATGATAGTTATATAAGAGCAGATGCTGCTGGTGCAATAAGCTGTACGCTGTATGTCCAATGGATGCATGATCTGAATAGTCGACTATCAGAATAATCGTTTGTGGCAGCCCTAGTGTTAAGTGACTCAGGTCCAAGGACTGGACTGAAAATGGGTGAGAAAGTTTAAAACCGCTGCTCAAGGCTACTTTTAAAAATTCCAGGAGCGCCTGGCACCTCGGAAGCAAAATATAAAACACTGAGTGGTGGTTCGAGACTTTTGCACGGCGCAGTGTGGAGGAGACTGCATCGTTATGCTCGCACACAAACGTTTAAAATGGCAGATTATTGCACAAACAAGGAACTTGTGTATTTTTGTGAATTTCCTTCTTCTTTCATACGAGCACACACGTCCTGTGAGCCGCGCACAGCGAGAGGTTTCGTTCTGTTGTTGCTTGTCCTGGCTGTAAAGGTTTGACCACCTCGGTGACAGTTGTTCCTTTGTCCGTGGGTGTTGTGAGGCTGTTTCAATGATAAGAAGTGACGATGATGATTGTTTCCGCGTTACATGAGATGAGGAAATATGCAGTCGTGTCAACTCGGGCGTGACAGGGTGTCGCCTGGACGCTGATAAAAATCATAAAGGGAAAACGATGCTGGCTTCATATCCAATAGATGATTAGTTACTGAGTGCAGGTGAGTTCATCAGTGAGTCTGAGGTTTGATTTCGAGCCAGCCACACCCACTTGTTTTCTCTCTCGCTGCGCTAAAACCACCTGGAACAAAGAGATAACGTTCGAGTCAGTAAACTCAGGTGACGTCTTTACACTTGAACCTGTTCAGATCTGAGACCCCTGCAGGACAAACACACTGAAGTGCTCGATGTTTAAAAATGACTTTTTATATTTAAAAGTGAAAATGGGGGTGGAGCTGACCCTGGCGTACGTCCGAGATTAGAACATCAGTAATTGTATGACCACAAATCAAACCTGATGACATAACCTGAAAACACCTGAGCAGGTCGTTACTGTCAGGGGCCGATGAACAGGAAGCTGTGGGGAGGTGGGCTCACACCCACAGCACTTAACCTAAACGTCTTCACTGTCTTTTCTAAGTCACAGGAACTTTTACCTTCCTTTCTCTGACAGGTGGGTAAGATGCTACACTACGCCTTGTGGGCGAAGACATGCGACGTCCTGTTTGTCCTCTTTGCTCTGGTGTTCCTCGTCACGAGGCTGTATGTCTTTCCAAGCAGGTAAGAAACTGTTAAATCAGACGTAGTTTCATGTGTTGGTGTGCAAATGTCCAACTAGGTTTGATGTACAGTTTGTCTTAGAGCACAGATAAAGTTTCCCGTTATCGGTACGACGCATGATGCTCTGAAGCCCGAGAGTTTGTAGGAACAGCTGATCTCACTGTTTCTGTGTTTGCCCTCCAGGATCATCCACACCACCCTGATCGTTTCAATGCAGTTCTACGAGCCTTTCTTTGGTTATTATTTCTTCAACGCTCTTCTGTTCGTGCTACAATTGCTGCACATCTACTGGGCCTATCTCATCCTGCGCATGGTCTACAGGTTTGCCTTTATGGGCAAGGTGAGACGAGAGGCTGTTTAAGCAGCAGCGATAGCAGGAAACGAGGAATCGGATGGTTAACTTTTATTCTTCTCCACAGATCGAGGGTGACGTGCGCAGCGACGAGGAAAGTCCGGTAGATGACAATGAAGAAGAAGAGGAAGACGGGGGTGAGTGCAGCTGGGAGCAGAGGAAGGATGCGATTAACTCCAGACTGGCATCGCTGGCTAACAACTGCGTCCTGAACAACCTGACCAACCAGACAAATAGAAACAGCAGACTACCCAAAACCAGATAGTGGCTTCACATCGAGTCCACGGCTTCGCTTCCACTTCCATGTCTCCAACATGGTCCGTTGATGATTTCAGGTCAGGGTAGGTTTGCCTCTGAGCAAAGAAGCACAGATGATTGTTGATCCACCGAATGTGACACCACTCATAACACTAATATCAAAACAATAACACGTATGATGAGAGCGCGTGATCACTGCGATGCCGTTTCTGGTCCCTGTAGTATAAGAACTTGAAAATATTCAGGACAGCGTTTTAGTTCATCTTTGCTTTTTTTTGAGTGAGAGCTTAAAAAAAATATTGTTTGTATTAAAACATATTAATTCTTGTGTATAATATGGTGTAATCTATTTTAAATGGAACAAACTACTCTGACTGATTTATGTCCACATGGCTGCTCATGCACACAGTTCTGATTGTAGTAAATCTGTTGATAAATCACTTTATTGGCTGTTTTTATTCATTATTCACTGTAATCTGTATTTGAATCCCTCGTATGATTGAAGAAGTTGTATTTTTCTGCGACAGATTTAGACTTTTTAGGAGAACTATGGCGCCCCCTGGTGCACAAAGAAGACGCTGCCCTTTCTGATGCCTTTACAAAAAGTATTTCTTCTACAAACACGGACGTGAACCGTGTGCGTGTCTGTGCATCGTGTCTTTTTCTCACGGGCAGCATGATTTCCTACTCGGGTCTTTTGTTTTGTGCCTTGGCTGCTGTGTTTTGAACACTAAGATATGAAGTCTATGTGCTACTAGGGTTCCCCTTTTTGGAACAACACACTGAAAAGGCCTTATTGTAACGTGTGTTACGTGTTTTTGTGTTGTCATTTCTACCTGATTCACACAGATGGGCATTATTGAGCTATTTTAGACAGTGGCGTTAAATGCATCGATGCAATGCTCCTGGGTAAAAATGAATGTAGAGATATTAGGAGCTGTATATTTTAATATTTACCAAATTGTGTTCTGATGCTTGCTAGTGTGATTTTACATGTGTCTTCCCGCCGTGCTGCTGCAGGTGAACATGCTAATCCAGTCATCATTTATGTAACGATGGCTGTGATAGGGCTAGAAACAGGGCGTGTCTGTGCAGGGGTGTGATGTCACTGACGCCCACCGCACAGCAGGGGGTTTAAAGTGAAATGCTGGAGCGCTAAACGGCCGACGCAGTGAATGAGACTCACCTGGATGTTGTTTTTAAGAAGATATAAAAGCAGGAGACACTTTATGTCCTCATGAAACCTGCATTTGACTTTTATTATGAGTGTTGATTTGTGACAACTCGAACAGTTTAAATAAATGACTTCTGAATAAAACCTGTACAAATTCAGTCAAGCTTTTATTAAACACTTTTACATTTTGTTCATACTAATGAAGACCCCCCCCACACACACACACACACACACACACAGACAGGTAACCATACACAGTACTGTGCAAACTTTGTTTTGCTATCGAGGTGACTGACACCCTCTTGGTATGTTTGTAAAGTGCTCTTGAGCAGTATTGCTCCAGGCTTCATGAAGGTTGGAGGTTGGCTGCTTTTTCATTCATTTTTATGTTGCGCAGCGAGTCCTTAAACATCTGTGGAGGATTAAAGAGGTGGCAGGCCTGTCTACAGCAGATGAACAGTCTCTGAACGTCCTGTCCTAAAGAGTTGCATGAAAAAAACACACAAGCAAAGCCGTGACACAGGACCTGAGAGATGCATCTGGCCCTTCAGCTGATCCATCTGCTGTTCGCTGAAGCCTCCTCAGAAATGTTCTCAGTGGCTGTCCACAAGCCATTCTTAATGAAAGGAAACAGGGAGAGGTTTGCCAAATTGGACTTAAAATTAGTGGCAACGAGTCTTGTGGAGTGAATCTACATTTGAAATTTTTGGTTCAAATCGTGGCCAGTGTGTACAGGAGAGGTCAGGAGAGAGGTACAGCAGTGTGTCCATCTGTGAAACACAGTGGAGGCTCTGTCATGGTTTGAGTCTCAGCCAGTGCAGTTGGGGATCTGCAGGAACTCCACCGTGTGACAGACAGCATCCTCCTCTGTCACACCGAGCGTCTGCATGTCCTACCTCACTACATGCATGAATCTTTTCTGAGGTCTTCCTCTCTGCCTCCTGCTTGGCAGCTCCATATTCAACATCCTTGTCCAATATATCTACCATCCCTTCTGTCATAGCTGGACTGGCCAGTGGCCCACTGGGCATTTGCCCGGTGGGCCGCTGGCGACTTTTTGTTTTTATGGGCCGATGGATTTTTTTTTTTTTTTTTTTTTTAAGGAAGGGTATATGTACTGAAAGGTGTTGGATTGGCCAATTGGTCATGATCGACTCTCGGCTGGACCAATTACAGCCGAGGAGGCCGGATGCACCCTCCCCCTTGTTTAGCAATCACGTGATTTTCGCGCATTGCATGCCGGGAACTAGTGGCAAAACAATCAAGTATCGCATCAAATGCAAGCATTTGCAGCACCGCAAAACGTTCATTCTCCGGTTCCAATACCTTCTTGTTTTTTCTTTGCCGCACAAAAAAGGTATGTACAAAACAAAAAGAAAAGATACGAGGAAAAAATCAAAGGAGTGAACGGGTCAGACCCTTACGAGCACACAGAGTGGACAGAGTGCCCAACTTTCACCACGCTCAGATTTATAATTATAGGTTCTTGGAGTGAGCGCATACACTCGTGAAGTTTAGTAACTTCAGGTCACTGCAACAAGCCCAGGTACAGTTTACCGACGGATGGGTGCAGGACCTTGAAATGCACCGTGTAGAACGAAAGACCATCGTACGTATCATAAGTTTACCAGTCTCACAAATCGTCGTCATAAATACACATTCGTTAACCGTTTATTAATAGGACCTTTGAGCTCAACGGTAATTAAATTCTCTGACTGTGGTTCCAGTCAGAGAATTTAAGACTTTCCCTAATAACAAACCGTGGCTCTCTAAAGATATTAAGGATCTGATTCTTAAAAGGAAAATTGCTTTTAACGAGGGAGACGTTCCCACTGTGAGAATATTGAGGAAGGAGGTGAGGGCTGCAATAAAGATTGCCAAGATGAGGTATAGAAATAAGATTGAGGCAGAACTCAGCAGTAACAACCTCAAAAGAGCTTGGCTTGGTATGAAAACAATGGCAGGGCTACAGACGAAAGGTAAAAGCAGCATTACCTTAGAGGGGTTTACCTCTGACAAACATCTGGCAGACAGTCTTAACAGTTTTTACCTTCGTTTTGAGAACTATGATTGTTCTAGGCAGACCAGCACACTGAGGGAAAGGACCATCACTCCCCAATCTATTTGTATTGATGAGACAGGGGTAGCTCATCTTTTTAGACATACCAAAAGCAAGAGTCCTGGACCTGACAACATCTGTGGACAGGTACTGAGAACTTGTGCTGAGCAGCTGAGTGGGATTTTTCACTATATCTTCTCACTTTCTTTAGAGCTACAGACGGTACCTAAGATTTGGAAACATGCTGTCATTGTTCCTGTTGCTAAGGGCAGTTCTCCTAAGGCACTGAATGATGTTAGGCCTGTGGCTCTGACTTCTTTAGTGATGAAGACATTTGAGAAGATAATTAAGGAGATTTTAATGCATGTTGAACACCATCTTGACCCCTTCCAGTTTGCCTATAGAGCAGGGAGAGGTGTGGAGGATGCTGCTGTCACACTCCTGCATCTCTTGTATAAGCATCTTGAGGCCCCCCACACCCATGCAAGATTATTATTTGCTGACTTTTCATCGGCATTCAATACAATTCAACCCTCTTACTTGCTGACAGGCTTTACAATCATTTCAAGCTTGACACTAGTCTGGTCGGCTGGGTGACAGACTTTCTGACTAATAGGTCACAATGTGTGAGGTGAATCATGTGTTTTCTGATGTGCTCTCCTCCTCTTCTGGATCACCCCAGGGTTGCTGCCTCTCTCCCCTTCTGTTCATTCTGTACATGAATGAGTGTGGCAGCAATTTCACAAACAGACACATCCTGAAGTTTGCTGACGACACAGTGATCGTCAGTCTTCTAGTGGGGGACGAGTCAGGCCATGGGCAGGTTGTAGATGATTTTGTGAATTGGTGTGATGAGTTCTTCCTTTCACTTAACGTGTCAAAAACTAAAGACATGATTATTGATTTTAGGAAGTCCTCTTATAGCTCATCACCCACTATCATTAAAACTGCCGATATTGGGATCGTTGAGAGTTATAAATATCTAGGTGTGGTACTTGACCATAAACTGTGTTTTGAATCTCATGCTGATGCCACTACTAAAAAAGTTCAACAAAGACTGTTCTTTTTAAGGAAAATGAGATCTTTTAATGTCTCATCTGAGATGTTGTCCTTGTTTTATAGAAGTTTTATCGAATCTGTGATGTTATTTTATATCGTTGCCTGGTTTGGTAACCTGACGGTGAAGAATAAGAATCGGTTGGGACTTCTGGTAAAAACTGCTAGCAAAATTTCAGGGCGCTGGCAAGATGGACTTTTGGCCATTTACAATAGAAATGTGCTTAGAAAGGCTCATTCTATTATTAATTGTGTGAACCATCCACTTCACAGTGAGTTTGAGTTGTTGCCTTCCGGCCGCCGTTTTAGAGTACCTCCTAGGAGGACTAAAAGACTCCAGGTCTCTTTTATCCCTACTGCGTCTTGTCTCCTTAATGGCAAATAATTGTCCTTGAATTTTCTATCATTATTATTGTTATTATTGTTTTATAGTATTGTTCTGTTTGTTCTTATCCTCCTGCTGCTAAACTAATTTCCCCTTGTGGGACAATAAAGAAATTGAATTGAATTGAATTAATTAGTAGTGGAAATAATTTCTGGTAGCATCACAGAAATGTAGCAGTGACAATAATACTGTATGCTGTAATCGCACTGGACAATTAGTGATACAAACAACTGTTTTATCCTGTGAATAAAAGTATATGTTTTTGTCAATGTACCATAATAACAGAAGCGAAACGCAATATTGTGTCAGGACAATTCACTATTTATGCACAATAAATAAAGGAGCATAGCGCGACAATTTCTGTTCAGCGCCAGACTTGCTTGTAACCTATATCACTAATTATGTTAAGAAAAATGACGTATTAACTACTACAAAACTCTGACCTTTGTGGGAATGCTTGGAGCAGACTAACCTGTGAGCTGGAGAGTTCTGGGACGTTATATTTGGTATATCCAGACCATCCGTCGGCTCTTACTTCGGAAACATGGCTTAAAAAATTTCTCTTCAACGACGTAATCCGATAAAAAAAAAAAACGATCTCTTTACCCGTCGGCTTCCCGTGGCTGTCATGCGACCGGCTATTGAAGTTTAATAATACAACAGCTTCTTGACATTTTTTGGGTTTCTTATTATCGCTGTGTAACTCAGTTCAATTGAAAGCCTGCGTGCGCTAGTACCTCTTGCCACAAGTTCCCAGAAACCTTTGCGGTTTTACCCCTGAATGACGTCACATTTTCAATCTTTATCCTGGTGGGCCGGTCTCTAGTCAAAATGCCCGGGCCGATTTTTTTGTCCCAGTCCAGCCTTGCCTTCTGTGCACATGTCCAAATCATTCCTGCCTTGCCTCTCTAACTGTACTCGTTTCTAGCTCCATCAGTCCTCGTCACTCCACCTCCAGGCGTGCTTCTAGCATCTCCAAACATCACAGCAGCTCTCCAGCATCTTGTAGCTTCTTGCTTTTATCCTTCTGTCTAAAATCACTCCTGACACTCGTCTCCACCCACTCCACCCTGACTGCACTCTCTTCTGGACTCTCCCTTTTCTTGGATGGTTGATATTTAAACGGATCTACCTTCACCATCACTGCTCTTTGCATGTCTCCCTCTTGTTCACACATATGTATTCTGCTTCTTCTGACTTTCAAACCTCCGCCTGCTTCCTGCTCTCCACAGAGCCTGGAACTCATCGTTATTGATCTCTGGGATCATCTTAACAGAGAATAGAATAAAAGAAGAGCTTTGCATGTCCTCCAAGAAGCCTGGAGAACTACTCCTGAAGACTACTTAAAGCTTGCCTGATAGTTCAGCCTGTGCTGAAAAATTAAAGGTGGTCAGACCAAATATTGACTTTCCCTTCAGGTTTGCACGAGTTGCTGCACCCATTTCCCATTTTCCTGACCAAATATAAAGAAAGAGGGATGGCTCGAGAGATTTGCACAATTCCACATTCATTCAACCATCATAGAGCATCATGGGATCATTCTTACGGTGACACACCCTCTGAGGGGCACGGGACAGGGTATAGCATCATCTACCTCAATGCAGGTGTCTATGTAAGGGTCCAGCAGCACCATGTTCGGGAATGCTTTGTTACT